GACGAGACAAAAACATTAAAACCTATTACAAACGAGGCATTTGTTGCATCCAGTGGGGACATAATTACTGATAATAATGACTTATACTGTCTTTTTATGCATTGCGTTGCATTGCATGGCACCGCGTAAACATAAAACCCTCTCTGCATTTGTGATCAGAGAAATGACAAACAACAAGTGCTACTCTACACTGCCCAAAACTCGCGTTTGAATCATCAGTGGCAAATCCTTTAAATTAAAACGTACTTATGTGAGTCAGAACTGCCGGCATTTTAGTCTAACGTTACTCTCCCAGGATCAATAAACAGTCCTCCATAAAATGTGCTGCACACATCTGGATATTTGGGTTAAACTGTTCTGGAACAGTGTTGTAAATACAACTTAACCACTGATTTGTAGTCGTGGCCTCTTCCGTGAGCGGAAGCCCCGGCTTAGTGTGAGCTGAGGCCGGGCTAGAGTGAGCATAGGCGGCGGGGTCGAGAACGGCGCGGCCGGCGGATCCGATGAAGGAGCGGCAAGCACATGTGACGACCCCAGGCTTCGTCCACGGTGAAAGCCGATCCGGCGATCCACAGTGCAAAGTTGATGTATTCCCTCAGCGACCAGCACGGATCAGCTGTAGGCATGAGGAAGCGGATATCGTCCTCTTTTGGAAGACCAAACAAAGTAGTTTTTCACTTTCACAACGAAGCACACAGCGTCTTCAGGACATGGCGGCCGCGGCAACAACAATACTAAAATGAGAATAAAAGTTATGCCTTCTTTCTTTGCGTGAACATTTGAGCGGCGTTATGCAAATCTTCCCACAGAGCGACGTAGGTATGTTGGGGCGTGTTAGAACGAGCCGTTTTAGGTAGGTGTGGTTGACTCTTAACTTTTATAAAGAATATCTCTTTGGATTTGAGACTTTAGTCTTTGCAACTTTACAGATCTTCTTTATGCACCAAGAGCTTGTAACACTCCAAAGAGAAAGGAAAAATTGAAATCGCATCATATGACCCCTTTAACATAAAACTTTCTTGTTTGAAATGTGCAGGTGTTTGATTACTTAGCACATGATAGTTTACAAAGGGTTAATGGGTGAAAAGTAGGGATGTAACGATTCACTCAACTCACGATTCAATTTTTTTTTACAAAATGAGATTTAAGACAAATTATAAATTAAATGTGTCCTTTTATTATTGCTTGAACAAAATTCTGTACGTTTCTTTGTGAAATTGAAATATAACACTATAATAATATACTAATACAGCACTTGTAAATTATTGCTCTTTTGTTGGTTTTGATTGGTTCTATTGTCCTCATTTGTTAGTCGCTTTGGATAAAATTGTTTGCTATTTAAATATATTGTAAATGTAAATAACAAAACTAAATTGAAATTTTAAAACAAGCCCCAAATCAAATAAATAAGTAACACAAATAAAAGAAATCTCTTCATATAAACAAACTAAGGCTTTGTCTGTGCTCTTTCCATTTAAAATGAGAGACAACCACTGCATTTTAATCATGATCCAAACAAAGATGCTGCATACATGCAACATGAGCAGTTTTTAATCTAAATTGCATTGTATAATTTCGAAATTTGAAGCAAAAACAGAATGGTTTGACTTCAGGTTTGTGAAACTATGCATAAAAATATTTGCATGAAATGGAAACAGCAGATGAGCTAAACAAGACGCAGATTCACTCTCTGCCAGCAGGTGGTGCTTAAAGCATTTCCTTGGTTTCCGCTGTAAACAAAGCAGCGCAGGGCTTTAATATGAACTTTAATATGCATTATACAGAGGCAAGAGGAAAAGAAAAAATACAATCTAAACTTTTCTAAAGACAGTAAGTTCCCCCAAATCAAATAAATAAGTAACACAAATAAAAGAAATCTCTTCATATAAACAAACTAAGGCTTTGTCTGTGCTCTTTCCATTTAAAATGAGAGACAACCACTGCATTTTAATCATGATCCAAACAAAGATGCTGCATACATGCAACATGAGCAGTTTTTAATCTAAATTGCATTGTATAATTTCGAAATTTGAAGCAAAAACAGAATGGTTTGACTTCAGGTTTGTGAAACTATGCATAAAAATATTTGCATGAAATGGAAACAGCAGATGAGCTAAACAAGACGCAGATTCACTCTCTGCCAGCAGGTGGTGCTTAAAGCATTTCCTTGGTTTCCGCTGTAAACAAAGCAGCGCAGGGCTTTAATATGAACTTTAATATGCATTATACAGAGGCAAGAGGAAAAGAAAAAATACAGTCGAAAGAAGTAAGTTCCCCTCAGACATACATTCATATAAGCTCTTACCCCTAATTGAATCGCGATTTGTTTGGCATCTCAACCGATTTGAATCGTCACATATTTAAATCGATTTTCAACCGGCTCGCGGTTAATCGTTACATCCCTAGTTAAAAGTTATGATCTTTGCAGAGACGCTGGCGATGAAAGGCCTGACCCTAAACTGCCTGGGGAAGAAAGAAGAAGCCTATGAACTTGTCCGCAGAGGTCTCCGAAATGACCTGAAGAGCCACGTCTGTATCCTTGGATATAGAGATTGACACACATGTTTGAAAGCTTTCAGTTTGAAATTTATGCACAGTAGTATGATAATGCTCCCTGTGTTGGAGCAGTTGGAATGAGTTTATTTCCTCATGTTCACAGCACCATGTTCACAACACGAGTATTTGTCTCGATTTGAAGCCTGTCGCTGCCGGTGGGGGTGATGGACCCTGGCCAAGATTCCTGCCCTGTGTCTGACTATGATGTGCAGTGACACCATGAACTGTTTAGAGAGCCAAACACACAGTGCAGTGTTTCCTCAAATGCTTCACATCCTAGAGGTTCGGGTTTCACAGAGAAAAATACCATGTACTAAATTACTTCATTCTTTTACTGGATGTTTCTTCATAAGACACACTTACCACAGGTTTTGAAATGCTTAAGTTTATTTGAATTTAATTGAAAATGTTTATCTTCATGTTTAAGGGTGGGTAGACTGAAGACAGACTGAAATTAGCTTAATACTAAACATTTTCTTGTTATTTTATTAGTGTGGATGGCCTTGATGGGGAAAAAAAAACACGTATACGCCAATCATTTAACATTGCAACACATTGTCCATGTAACTTATTATTTTTAGTTGACAATCACTCTGTCTTCCTTTATGGTATAAATGAAACCATATAGCTGTCTTGAGATATATATATATATATAAAACATAGGGGATCTTTATATTTGGGGGTTTGACTCAATGAGACCAGTGGACAATCTAAATTTAAGTGATTATCCTGGGCACAGTATTGTACTGTTATCAGCTCTGTAGTGTCTCTGTAAAGTTCCCCTGCTCTCCTTAACGTGACATTTTCAGGCTGGCACGTGTATGGTTTGCTCCAGAGGTCTGACAAGAAGTATGACGAGGCTATAAAGTGCTACAGAAACGCACTGAAATGGGACAAAGACAACTTACAGATCCTTCGAGATCTCTCTCTCCTGCAGATCCAGATGAGAGACCTGGAGGGTTACAGGGTGAGTATGTGTATGAGTATGAGTTTCATTTTATTTGTTGAATTACAGTACTGTTCAGAATTTAAAAAAAAAAGTTATTTTTTGTGTTCAATAAAACTTTTATGAAAGACATTAATGCATTTAATCAGCAAGGATGAATTAAATTATTTAAAAGTGACAGTACAGCCATTTATCAGGACTTGAATTTCAGCGTGGGTATTGTGTATAATTTTACTAAGTCCCCACAGGTTCCACATTTATTATGCATGAAATTCCTGCAAACATTTATCCACAAAAGCGTGTAAGTTTAACAAGTAAATGAATCCCCACAGATGATCAGATCAAATCAGTATTTTGAAAAGTTTCTGTGAGACTGTAATTTCATAAACAGCATGAGTGATTCAGCACTACCGCGTCTTCCTTTTTCAAGAGATGCCAATTTTGTTGCATGCTGTTTTCTAAGCTCTCACACCCAAAACGTGCGCATACAGAGCCTCCTCTCCGACAGCTCAAATACTGGATTGAGTTTTTATTTTTTATTTTTTTGTTCGTGGTGGTTAAATGTTCAGATACACAAAAAATTATGTGAAAATGCTCATCTTGGTGAGTATTCACATAAACCCAGTCGAATATGTCTTAAGCGAACATACTGCATCTGTGCTTTCGGTCTTAAAGTGACAGCAGTGCTGTTGTCTGTGTTAATCAAACAAAACAGAGAAAATCACTCACTTCTCTTGACTGAGTAACTTTTGTAACTTTAAATGTAAGAATAAATCTGTATTTATTTATAGCGGGAAGACTATCCGGTGTTTTTTTTGCATTTAATTTATTCCATTTCTGTAGTATTGCTGTAACTGAATACTAATTGTAGACCTAGCTGAAAATCTTAAATCAGTATTATATTTGTTTATTTATTCTGCTGTATTTATTTGTGCCATTTCTCATCATTTATTTGCTCTTATTTTATTACTGAATGTTTACTTGTCTTTTTTTAAGGTAGAACAAATTCAATTCAAAGTTTGATATAAAAATTTCTAAGTCGTGTGAATCAACGCGTAATTATAGAAATTTTTAACAACATAAATACTTTGAGTAAGGAAACGGGTCTAAAAATGTTTCTTGAGCAACAAATCATATTATAATGATTTCTGAAGGATCATGTGACACTGAAATAATGGCTTCTAAAACTTCAGATTTGCCATTACAGAAATAAAATAGAAAACAGTTATCTTAAATTGTAATAATATTTCGCTGTTTTACTGTATTTTTCAAATAAATGCAGCCTTGGTCAGAAGATATTTTTTGACCTCAAACAGTTGAACTATAGTGTAAATTTTATTTATTGTAGAATATGCCCTTTAATATGCCCTTTTATATGTAAAATATATAATTTAAAATATGTTGGTATTAATTGCATTAATGTAATTAATAGCCCCATATTACTGCACAATGCAACTTAATATGCATGTGTATGTTGAGTCAAATACAGCAGCCGTGAATCAGCAATGTCCATTTCCTGTCTCTTGAGCTTACTTCTCTCTCCTCCTCTCTTGTGTCTTTGTTTCTTTGTCTTCTGCGGTATGATAAAGTGGGTGTTTAATGTTTCATACCCTCAGGCTACTCTGATACCGACTTTTACCACTGAAATGAAAGCCTTTCATATGTGGGCTTTGTGCAATATGGATCCACTGTTGTTTTCTGTAGTTTTAGAAGGTACTTTGTTACATTGTTTTGAAAGGGATCTAATTTCACCTCTGCATTCAGCAAGAACTTAAACCTTTAAAAGTTTTTTAAAGCTTGGACCTTGTAAAAACCTAACACCAGAGAAATCCCTCATTCTGACTTTATTGACTCTTATAGGAGACCCGGTATCAGCTGCTGCAGTTGCGGCCAGCGCAGCGAGCGTCATGGATTGGCTACGCCATTGCATATCACCTCTTAGAGGACTATGAGATGGCTGCCAAAATCATTGAGGAGTTTAGAAAAACACAACAGGTAAATGCAGACATGACGAGATGCATCAAGATTCAAGTTCTTAATTTTGTAGGTTTGTCACAATACCCAAAATTTTGCAGTTTATGCCAGTACCAATGAAAACAAGGTTTTAAACCCCAATTTTGGAAAGTGAAAACCAGTATCACTACATGGGTAGTGAAAGATCTTATTTAAAAAAAAAAAAAAAAGACTAGACAAATTAAATTAAAACAATGGCTTGTACCAGTCAGAATAAGTATTTATACACATTTATAAATTTGTAATAATATTTTTGATGTTTCTTTTAAGTTTGCATTTTAATTTGTTTTATTTTGATGTGCATTTGTTATTTTTAGTAGTTTTTGTTACATAATAATTGTAGTAAAAATTTTTTTTTTTTACATATTTCTATCTAGTTTTTTGTTTTAGTAATTTTAGTATTTAATTTACTTTAATTTAGTATTTCCTTTTATATTTATTTAATTTAGTAACCAAGGCAACATTTCACATTTTAATTTTTTACCTAATTTCTACTTTATTTTATCAGATTTTTTTCAATTGTTCTAACATTTAGAATTATTTAGTTAACAAGTAAAAGCATATTTAACTTAAATGCTCATGCACGGAGAAAAAAAAATAAAAAAATGTTCATAATATTATTTATATAGTTATATAGTTTGACTAATATTAAGGACAGACTTTTATCTTATTGTGTTTTGTGTTTGTTACATGGGACAGTGGAGATTTGATAGGAAAGTGGCGGGGAATTTTACACTCACATCTGCATTGTATCGAACCACAAGCGCTGTTCTCAGAGCATGTAAAAATATCCAATTTAGTATTAAAGTACCTGTACTTTTTACATCCCTATTAGCTTGGAATAGATTTGAAAGAACAGGGGCAGCGGTAACTGGAGTGGCTAATGAGGTATTGTGAAGACGTCAAACTGCCACTCCAGGTCAACAGGCAGCACAATGGCATGTGTTTGTTGTGGCATCCAAGATAAGATGCTTACTTCCTCTCATTGGTTTCTAGCACAAAGGGAAATTACAAGTCGGCAGGCTAAATAAAAGATTCCTAACTGTTATATAGTGGAATTTGTTTACGCAATAAAACCTTTCTGTATTAGTTTTTTTATAATGTTTAGAAATGTTTGATTTTTCAGACGTCCCCTGACAAGGTGGATTATGAGTACAGTGAGCTGCTGCTGTATCAGAATGAGGTCTTGAGGGAGGCGGGACTCTTGAGAGAAGCTCTGGAGCATCTCACCACCTACGAAAAACAGATCTGTGATAAACTGGCCGTGGAGGAAACCAAAGGTACATCAGTGCACCTCTTTCTTCCAAGTTTTTCCTATTTTTTATTTTTTTCCTCTGCTTTTAAATTATTTTGTCCATTATGCAGTGTTTCCTATTCACATTTTGCTTGTCTAGCAGATTGACTTCCTGTTTGTGGTGCCCTATGGAAAATTCTCTCTTTTTATTTTCACTCCTCGTGTTGTGGATGTGTAGGGGAGCTGCTGTTGAATCTGGAACGGTCTGAGGAGGCGGCAGATGTGTACAGACGACTACAGGAGAGAAATCCTGAAAACTGGTCTTATTACCATGGCCTGGAAAGAGCCCTCAAGCCTGGTACACATGAACAATGATTTGTCTGCATATTTTTATCTCATCTTATACACGGACTAGTAAGAGTTTAACAAAACACAGTGATTCTGGTGTTTTTTAGCAAGTACAGAAGAGAAGCTGAAGATCTATGAGGAGGCCTGGGAGAAATACCCTAAAGGCCTCGTACCTCGCAGATTACCACTCAGCTTCCTGTCTGGTAGGCAGTTCTTCCTCTGGTCTAATACATCAGCTTCATCAGTATGTTGAGTGAAATTGTTTCTGTATTGTTCAGGAGATAAGTTTCGGGAGTGTCTGGATAGATATTTAAGAATGAACTTCAGTAAGGGCTGTCCTCCTGTCTTCACCACACTCAGATCTCTCTATCAGGACAAAGAGAAAGTGAGGACCGAATCTAATCACACAGAACATGCCAACTAGGGTTTACATCCAAATGTGTTTTTCACATTTTGTTTTAATTGCAGGTCTCAATAATTGAAGAATTAGTTGTTGGATTTGAAACGTCATTACGGAGCTGTCGAATGTTCAGCCCAAACGGTATGTTTTTTAAAGTATTGGGTCATATGACCAATCACATTTTTGAAAACAAAATGTCAATCTGCACTATAACGTGCACAAAACTTTCTCTAGTGCAAAAATACTGTATTGAAATATTGTCGGAGCAGTTGTAACTATGTGAACATCCACATTTATGTGAAAAAGAGTTAAAGGGTTAGTTCACCCAAAAATACAATTTTTGTCATTAATTACTCACCCTCATGTCGTTCCAACCTTGTAAGACCTTCATTCATCTTCGGAACACAAATTACGATATTTGTGATGAAATCCGAGAGCTTTCTGACCCTGCATAGACCGCAACACAACTGACACGTTCGAGGCCCGAAAGGTAGTAAGAACATCGTAAAAATAGTCCATGTGACATCAGTGCTTCAACTGTAATTTTATGAAGCTACGAGAATACTTTTTATGTGCAAAGAAAACAAAAATAACTACTTTATTCAGCAATTTCTTCTCTTTCATGTCAGAATTCGATGCGCATTCAAGACAGTACCATGATGCCAGAATGCAGGTTCCTGCGTCAGCAGCACCATACGCATGCGTTGTGGTACTCTTGTGAATGCACGGTGGAGACTGACACGGAAGAGAAGAAATTGTTGCATAAAGTCATTATTTTTGTTTTCTTTGTGCACAAAAATATGTAAACTGTAGAAATAAATATGTAGACATTTTGCCAGACCATTTGTTGTTCCTGGCCGTGTGTAGCACCTTCTGCTCTGTGTATCCTTCAGAAGGATCCCAAAATGAGAATTTAGCAGCTAAAATTTGTATTATCAAGCTCTCTGAATTATATCAGACTGGTTTTTACAGTTTAAATCAACATAATGCGAACTTTGCCAAGATGATATTGAAGAACACTTTTATAAACTGTTCTTATTTACAAAGTATTGTTTTTTTTTATAATGCATGCATATATATCCATCTATCCATTTCCTATTATTATTATTATTATTAATAATAACAATTGGGTTTTATTTTTTATATATAATTTAATTATAATTATTAATCAAAGAAAGATGTAAGGTTTAAAGGCACACTACTGAAAAATAGGCTATTTAAATCTAAGAGGAAGAGGGTGGAAAATGCTTGTATAAAACTACATTAGTGCAAAGAAGCAAACGTTATAAGTGGACATTATGGAGAAATTAATATGATGCTTTTAATGCTGTGGTGACTGTCTAATGTGTATCAGTGGATTAGCATTACCTGTTTGGTTCTTTTGATGTTCACATATAGATGATGGCAAGGAGGAGCCGCCCACTACATTACTCTGGCTGCAGTATTTCCTGGCTCAGCACTATGATCAGATCCGCCAGCACACCATGGCTCTCGAATACATCAATGCTGCCATTGAGAGCACACCTACACTGATAGAGCTCTTCCTCATTAAAGCCAAGATATACAAGGTACAAAATGCATTGCACACAATTACTATTTTGCAGATTTATTCAAATTGCAGTATGCTAATTAAAACGATGATTGCAACGACGTAATTAAAAGAAAATTTGAATAATTAGCTGGGTTCGGTGATTTGATTGTCATATCCTGACTCCATTGGGTCCCGTTTGTATTTCCTCACTCAGCATGCTGGGAATATCCGGGAAGCAGCTCGTTGGATGGATGAAGCTCAGGCCCTGGACACAGCAGACCGTTTTATTAACTCCAAATGCGCCAAGTACCTGCTTAAAGCAGGTCTGATTAAGGAGGCTGAGGAAATGTGTGCCAAATTCACAAGGGTAAGGGAACTGTGTGCGCACTTTTGAGTACCTAATCTTCTCATAGGTGTTTTGTGTGTAACCGCTTTGTTCCTCTCTCTCAGGAGGGAGCGTCTGCGGTAGAGAATCTGAATGAGATGCAGTGCATGTGGTTCCAGACTGAATGTGCTCTGGCCTATAAATCCATGAAGAAATATGGAGAAGCACTCAAAAAATGCCATGAGATTGAAAGGGTTAGTCGTCTTTGCTTTGTCAGTATATTATGGTATTTGTGTGTTGCTTTTACCTCCTCATCTGACTACTTCCTTCTTGCATTCGTTTATTACAGCACTTTGTAGAGATAACAGATGACCAGTTTGACTTCCATACGTATTGCATGCGGAAGATGACGCTGCGTTCCTATGTGGACCTGCTTAAACTAGAGGATGTGTTACGTATGCACCCATTCTACTTCAAAGCCTCACAAACCGCCATCCTAATCTACCTCAACCTGCATGACAACCCGCTAACGGATGACAGCAAGGAACTACAGGCTGATACTGGTAATATGGCATAAATCTTTAGAAAACAGTTTCTGTCATGGAATAAAAAAATAAAGGTATTTGCGACTCTTACCCCTCACGGTTTTGACTTTTTTCCTCGTAGAATTGTGAGGGGGAGAAAAGTCAGAATAGTGAGACAAAAAAGACACAATTAACTTTATTTTTTGTTCTGTGGTGGAAACAACAAAACTAGTGCTGTCAAACGATTAATCGCATCCAAAATAAAAGTTTTTGTTTACATAATATATGTATGTGTACTGTGTATATTTATTATGTATATGTAAATACACAAACATGCATGTATATATTTCAGAAAAAAAATATTTTTATGTATTAAATATATTTATTTATAATAGAAAATATATGAACATAAATATAGACGTAAATATTTTCAATTTATATATTATATATGTCTATATATACATAATAAATATACACAGAACACACACATATTATGCAAACACAAACTTTTATCCTGGAATGCGATTAATCGCAATTAATCGTTTGACAGCACTAAACAAAACTGAATTGCAAGATGTAGACTCAGTATTCAAAGAAACAGTCAGATTTTGAGATGTAAAGAGCTTTTGCATTTTTGACAGTTCTGAGAAAAAGGTCTTTTCAATTGCGAGAAAACAGTCTATATTGTGCGGAGGAGGAAAAAGTTAATTTTTTTTTTATTCCATGCCAGAAATGGGCTTCCATACACTGAAGCAAGTCTGTATATGTTTAAAGTGTGCTTAATGTTGCTTCTGTTTTCCAAACAGGGAACCTGACTGACAAAGAACTGAAGAAGTTAAGGAACAAGCAACGGAGAGCACAGAAGAAAGCACAGCTGGAGGAAGAAAAAAAGAATGCAGAGAAAGAGAAACAGTTAAAGAACCAGAAAAAGAAAAAAGAGGATGATGACGAAGAGATCGGCGGACCTAAAGAGGAACTTATACCAGAGAAACTCGCCAGGGTGTGTTTGTTTTAAGAGTAATGTTTGTGAAAGTGGGGGATTCTTTATCTTAAAGACTTCTAAACAATTTGTCTCTTTAGTAGGAACCCAAGGGGAAATTGGAAGAAACTCAAAGACTTTTATTGTGCTTGGACAAAAACGTTTCTCTTTCTTTCATTTTTAAGGTTGAGAACCCATTAGATGAAGCTGTAAAGTTTCTGACACCCTTGAAAAACCTGGTGAAGAATAAGATAGACACACACCTTCTGGCCTTTGAGATCTACTTTAGGAAAGGTACATGCTTTACATCTCTGAACTCCATTCTCATCTCCATTTGTACAGTCTAATAATAGTTTTTCATTTTTGATAATGTTTCTCTTGGATGTATGAAAGAAATTATCTGTTGCGACTTCCGTTCCATCGCGACTTGAATAGATGCATTTTTTTAATGTTCTTTGTCCTCAATTTCCTCACAGAAAAGTTCCTGTTAATGCTACAGTCAGTGAAGAGGGCCTATGCAATAGACCCGGACCACCCTTGGCTTCACCAGTGTTTAGTGCGCTTCTTTAAAGGAGGTGAGTGAACCCAGGTTACCTCTTGCTCTTAGTTTAGTAGTTTTTTATTTATTTATTTATATTTATCTATATACAGTGGGTACGGAAAGTATTCAGACCCCCTTAAATTTTTCACTCTTTGTTATATTGCAGCCATTTGCTAAAATCATTTAAGTTCATTTTTTTTTCCTCATTAATGTACACACAGCACCCCATATTGACAGAAAAACACAGAATTTTTGACATTTTTGCAGATTTATTAAAAAAGAAAAACTGAAATATCAGATGGTCCTAAGTATTCAGACCCTTTGCTCAGTATTTAGTAAAAGCACCCTTTTGATCTAATACAGCCATGAGTCTTTTTGGGAAAGATGCAACAAGTTTTTCACACCTGGATTTGGGGATCCTCTGCCATTCCTCCTTGCAGATCCTCTCCAGTTCTGTCAGGTTGGATGGTAAACGTTGGTGGAGCACAGAAGAAAGCACAGCTGGAGGAAGAAAAAAAGAATGCAGAGAAAGAGAAACAGTTAAAGAACCAGAAAAAGAAAAAAGAGGATGATGACGAAGAGATCGGTGGACCTAAAGAGGAACTTATACCAGAGAAACTCGCCAGGGTGTGTTTGTTTTAAGAGTAATGTTTGTGAAAGTGGGGGATTCTTTATCTTAAAGACTTCTAAACAATTTGTCTCTTTAGTAGGAACCCAAGGGGAAATTGGAAGAAACTCAAAGACTTTTATTGTGCTTGGACAAAAACGTTTCTCTTTCTTTCATTTTTAAGGTTGAGAACCCATTAGATGAAGCTGTAAAGTTTTTGACACCCTTGAAAAACCTGGTGAAGAATAAGATAGACACACACCTTCTGGCCTTTGAGATTTACTTTAGGAAAGGTATATGCTTTACGTCTCCATTTGTACAGTCTAATAATAGTTTTTCATTTTTGATAATGTTTCTCTTGGATGTATGAAAGAAATTATCTGTTGCGACTTCCGTTCCATCGCGACTTGAATAGATGCATTTTTTTAATGTTCTTTGTCCTCAATTTCCTCACAGAAAAGTTCCTGTTAATGCTACAGTCAGTGAAGAGGGCCTATGCAATAGACCCGGACCACCCTTGGCTTCACCAGTGTTTAGTGCGCTTCTTTAAAGGAGGTGAGTGAACCCAGGTTACCTCTTGCTCTTAGTTTAGTAGTTTTTTATTTATTTATTTATATTTATCTATATACTTGACACCCTTGAAAAACCTGGTGAAGAATAAGATAGACACGCACCTTCTGGCCTTTGAGATTTACTTTAGGAAAGGTATATGCTTTACGTCTCCATTTGTACAGTCTAATAATAGTTTTTCATTTTTGATAATGTTTCTCTTGGATGTATGAAAGAAATTATCCGTTGCGACTTCCGTTCCATCGCGACTTGAATAGATGCATTTTTTTTATGTTCTTTGTCCTCAATTTCCTCACAGAAAAGTTCCTGTTAATGCTACAGTCAGTGAAGAGGGCCTATGCAATAGACCCGGACCACCCTTGGCTTCACCAGTGTTTAGTGCGCTTCTTTAAAGGAGGTGAGTGAACCCAGGTTACCTCTTGCTCTTAGTTTAGTAGTTTTTTATTTATTTATTTATATTTATCTATATATATAGAGATATATATATATATATATCCATATATATATATATATATATCAGTTGGTCTCTGTCTTATTTGTTGCTTTTGACACCATATTCACCTCAATGTGTTGTGATTGGTTTTATTGTAAAGTTTGCTTGGTAATGTGTTGCTATTGATTGGCTGACAGTGTCTGAAAGTAAAGACCTAGCAGAATCGGTCAGCATGGTTGTCAAGCAGGAAATATCCAGGATGTTTGGGGAAAGTAATGCTAAGAACTTCAACCAGGCCTTCCTCACCAAGCACTTCAATTCCATCCCTCATCGAGTAGCAGGTGCACATACTCAACACTTTGTGCACTCAGCTTTTTTTTTTTTTAAACTGCTTATTTTTCATGTTCAGTTTTCAATTTCACCTGTTTTCTTCCTTTACAGCTGCCAAAATGATGTTCTACTTAGACCCTTCAACACAGAAGAAAGCGGTGGAACTGGCTATAGCACTTGATGAATCACTGAACAACAGAAACATTCAGGTACATAATGGGCTACAGGACTTTAAAGGATTAGTTTCCTGATTTCCTGATAATTCACTCACCCCCATGTCATCCAAGATGTTAATGTCTGTCTGTCTTCAGTTGAAAAGAAATTAAGGATTTTGAGGAAAACATTCCAGGATTTTCCTCCATATAGTGGACTTTGCAGTTTCAATGCAGCTTCAAATGGCTCTACACGATCCCAACCGAGAAATAAGGGTCTTATCTAGCAAAACGATCTGTCATTTTCTTAAAAGAATAAGAATTATATACTTTGTCTACAAATGCTTGTCTTGCACTAGCTCTGCAAAGTGCATGCGTGACTTCATGTATTACGTAATCATGGTGGAAAAGCCAGGCACGGTTAGTTTTTCGTCTGTGTGTACTTTGGTTCAGAAAGGTAGGCTAGGGCGACAAACTCAGTCTCATTTTCTCCAACTTCGAAATCATCCAACATCGTTGTTTTACCTTTTTTGTAAAGGGCGTTTGACTTTGTAAACACTGGGTCGGTACTATATACACATGATATACCGCCTATATCATGTGTGACCTTTCTAACATGACTACATAATGCGTGAGGTCAAGCTAGTGCAAGATGAGCATTTATGGTTAAAAATGATATATGTTTTTATTTATTTTTTTAGAAAATGGCAAATTGTTTCACTAGATTAGACCCTTATTCCTCAGCTGGGATCACGTAGACCCCTTTGAAGCTGCATTGAAAGTGCAATTTGGACCTTCAACCCGTTGGCCGCCATTGAAGTCCACTATGGAGAAAAATCCTGGAATGTTTTCCTCAAAAACCTTCATTTCTTTTTGACTGAAGAAAGATAGATATGAATATCTTGGATGACATGGGGGTGAGTGAATTACCACGTCCATGCACATCACTGTTTTTTCACATTGACTTTGGTAGTCTTTAAAACTCTTCAAAGCATTTCATCAGCATTTCAAAGCATACTTTGCTTCACTTTTTTCCCAATTTTACACGAGAAACCGTTTTATCTACTGAAGAGGGATATGAAATAACTGGGCTGTTTTAGTTTCTGTCCAAGCTGGATGTCAGACTTCCCTTTTTTTAAAACAGTTCTTACCCTTTTTATTGTATGCATAATTGCATACATGAATTCATGCATAAAATAAACAATTGTGTTTATTATTTGCAAAAAAGCAAACGTTTACTTTAATTATCTGCTTTGACATCTTATGACGGGTTGTTTTGAAAACGAGTCCAGGTTTCTCTTATTGAAGGGGAAGTTCTTGCAATCAGAAACCATCAGTCATGGGCATGTGAGGAGTGCTCTGAACTTTTAGCCTCATTTTAACATCCATTTCACATGTTTGTTTTGCCACTGGAACGGTAGATGGATTCGTCTTTGGAGAGCTCCACTTCATTGAACGGTAACCCGGTGCGCTGCCGGTGTCGTACCTGTAAGCAAATGCAGAACTTAGCCTACTTTGCGAGATAAGCCCAGGAACACTCAGCGAGGGCTCCATAAACCTGAGCCACAAAGAGACCCGAGAACGTTCTGAGGTCTACTTGAGATAACTCTCCTCACCCGAGGGGGGGAAAGTAAGCATTAGGCGGATAAGACCCGCGCCTACAGGGCAGGGACGTCCAAATTGTAGAATCTAATAAAAGGTAGATGGCAACGACCAGCTGGCGGCCGCGCAAATCTCACCAATAGAGATTCTACTGGACCAGGCCCAAGAGGAGGCCATTCCTCTGGTGAAATGGGCCCTCACACCTAAAGGGCATTGCAAGCCAGCTGAGGCATAAGCCAGAGCTATAGCATCTAAGCACACAAAAAGCTGCTCTGATTGTCTGAAAGACTCTGAGCACTTAATGTAAACTCGCAGTGCCCAGACAGGGCATAACAAGTTGGGACCTTGTTCGCCATCTGTTCCAGGGAGGGCTAAAAGGGAAATGACCAGGGGCCTCATGTATAAAACTTTACGTCGATTTCATCCTAAATGTGTGTGTATGCACAAAAGCTAGATTTTGCGTATGTACAAAAGTTTTCAGATTTATAAAGCCATGCGTACGCCAGAACCTGCGCAAAATTCCCTTTTTAATACCCAGTCAGCGGAAGATTGTGCGTACATGGATCTCCACCCCGTCTCCTCCCCGAAATGGGCATATATGGAGCTTACAACGCCTAGTTTTATCTGCATATCATTTCCATCCACCTGACACCATGTTTAACACAGTTAAGGGTAGCCTACAACACATTAGGAAAATATGAGATACAGACTATAAATGCGTTTTGAGACATCACTATTCTAATTTATGAAATTTACCTAAAAGGTAAACATATATTTTGGAATGTTTATAGCCTATATTTTTATGGAAAGTGATGGGCCTTATTTTTTTGCAGTGTAGCTGTCTGACTCAACGCGTCAATAACAAAACATTTTGAAAATAAAACGTGTATATCTTTCAATTTCCTTCAAATTCTATCTTTTAAATATGATGGTTGTCCCAATATTGGGAAGAGCACGAAAGGGGTTATCATTGGGCTACTGTCTGTGCGCGACGCCTGTGAACAATTCTACTGTCATCGGACCTGTTCAAACCAGCCAATGGACTGTTTGATCAACAAGCGCATCCTTGTTACCGCCTATGTTCCAAAGCTATCAGACGAATCAAGTTCATATCAATGATCATTATTCATGCAAAAGTATTTTCTCAGAACATGATTTTTGCTATTTAGAACACAATTTAAAGTGGAATTGTCATACGCCAAGCAATCCTCGCTATTATTAAAACATTAAATCGCATACCACAGGAAAATTGTTCGAAAGCAGCACATCCACTGCAAATATTTCTGTTTAACTTCATATACAAATGTAATTTCTGGATAATAATTTCATGAAATTTCAGTGCTTAACGTCATTATTCAGTGTCATATTTATATCTAAATGTGTATGTCAAATGTAAAACAGACTTTAAAATCATTCTGTTTGCTTCCTTATTTTGCTAACTCCAGTAAAAGAGTGCGTACGCATGGTCTAGAGCAGGGGTGGGCAAAATTGTACCCTTCTCCTCACGGTCACTTTCCTTCAGAGTTTAGCTCCAACCCTTATCAAACACACCTGAACCAGCTAATCATTGTCTTCAAGACTACTAGAAAGCTACAGGCAGGTGAGTTTTATCAGGGTTGGATCAAATCTCTGTAGGAAAGTGGCCTGGAAGGGCCAAGTTTGCCCATCACTGGTCTAGAGTGTCCGTACGGTGCGCACTTATTTACGCATAGTTTATTTTTTATAAATTGCGTACGCACATTTCCATGCCCATTTTGTGCATACGCAATGTTTGTACATCAGGCCCCTGGGCTCTAAACGGAGTTGAGAGCACCTTCGGTACATAACTGCTGTGCAGTTGAAGAACGACTTTACAGTTGTTGGGTCCAAACTCAAGACCGGAAGCACTGACAGACAGGTCTTGCAAGTTCCCTACTCGCTTGACTGATGCCAGGGCCAAAAGCAGAGCGATTTTGAGTGTCATGACCCTTAAGCCGGCTGTTTGAATCAGCTCAAAGGGGGAGCTCTTGAGAGCTCTCAGGACTATAGACAAGTCCCATACTGGCACCGTCCTTGGGCAAGGAGGGTTAAACCGCCAAGTGCCTCTAAGAAACTTAATGATTTAAAAGTCGTTCCTGCCAATTGTCCGGCCAGCCTCAAGAGAATGATTTGCCGCGATGGCTGCCACATAGGCTTTGAGCGTGGAAGGGGTGCGCCCCTTATCCAGCAGCTCCTGCAAAAAGGTTAGCATGTGGGACACGTCAGATGATACCGGATCCTGGTTCCGTGCTGAACACCAGTCACTGAAGACTGACCACTTCAGGGCATAGAGGCGCCTTGTAGACTGAGCTCTAGCCTCTAAAATGGTATTAGTGACTATCGCTGGGAGTTGGCTGGACTTCCGTCGAGTGGCCAGACATGAAGGTTCCACAGTTCCAGCTGGGGATGCCAAATCTTGCCCTGTGCCTGCGAGAGAAGGTCTCTCCTCAGGGGTATTGACCACAGCGCTGCAGATAGCAGTTGGATCATCTCCGGAAACCAGACATGGTTCCTCCAGAGATGGGCCACGAGGAGGAGAGAGCACTTTGTGTCCCTGACTCGCCTGATAACCTGGGGTAGTAGGGCGATCGGAGGGAAGGCATACAGATGGGTGTTGGGCCAATCGTGGGCCAGAGCATCCCGCTCTCTAAATAGGTTGGGCAGTGATAGTTGTCTTCGGAGGCAAAGAGGTCGACCACTTGCCCTGCCGAAAACTGACCCGTCTGGGGATGTAGCCTCCATTCCCCTGGAGCTACCTTGTCCCTTCACAACATATCTGCTCCCTGTTTCAGTTTGCCTGGCACATGAAACGCTTTTAGTGAGAGGAGTTCTCTCTGTGCCCAAAGCAGGAGACGTCGAGTCATCCTGTGAAGGGGACGTGACCTGAGACTGCCTTGGCGGTTGATATAGGCTACCACAGTCATGTTGTCTGAGTGGACCAGGTCGTGGTGCCCCTTTAAGGCTGGCAGGAAGTTTTCAGGGCCAGCAAACAGCCATCATTTTGAGGCAATTGATATGTAGGCTTCGCTCGTGGGTCGAGCAGGAGCCGTACGCCGGATTGCCCTCACCCCAGCCCGAGTTGGAGGTGCCCGCCATGACCACCTTCCTTCTGTAGGTCGTTCCCAATTCACGCCTGACAGAAACAGGCAGGGAGTTGTCCAAGGGGCTACAGCTTTGACACAGCGATAGGTTACCCTGACATAAACGCGGCCCAGGCGCTAGGCGTGGGACGGGATGTGGGCTTTTAATCAATATTGAAAGGGCCAGAAGCCCTCAGGGGACGTGCAGACACTGAATATTCAGGGAGCATTCAGGTGTAATCCAAGCTCGAATTTTCACAGAGTTCCCAGAAAGTCACGCGCTGTCTGGGAGTCAGAAAACTCTTGGCTGAATTGATTTTCAGCCCAAGACGCTCTAGGTGGTTGAGCAACAACAACCTGTGAGCGAAAAGTTCCCCTTCTGATTCGACCAGTCATCGA